GGGGGAGGGGCGGGGACAGAGCGTTAAGGGCGTCGCTTTTCCCGTTCCCTTCGACCCACCCTGCGCGTACCGCAGAGGCAGACCGAAGCACCGAAGCGACCCCCGGGGTCGGGAGGCAGATTTATGGAACGGCCCTGGTCTCCGGTGTCCAGGGTTACCTGGGATGGCAATGGGACGCACAGGCGGAACGGCCGGGCCATTGGGGGATGGTTATACATTGTGCCCACAGTGGCCCGCCGCTTCTAAGAGACAGGAGCAGCTGGCCCTGGAACAGGAACTGTCACCCGGGCAACCGACAGGCCGAAGTACCCGGCTGCGGCGTCTTCGGCTACCTGCTCTCCACTGCGCCTGCGTCCCGGGCGCCCCGCCCCCAGCGCTCGGTCCTCCGGTCCGGCACAGGCGCGTGGTGCGCTGCCGGGAGCCGCCACCAGGGGGCGGCAGTGTGAGAAAGCGGATGTCTAATGAAGGAGCCGCATCCTTTCATCATTCCGTTGATTTTCCCTTTTCTTTTTCCCCAAGGAACATTTGAAATATGCTTTTATTATTTGCTCACGAATTATTCACACCTGAGCGAGTCAGTTCGGAGACTGAGTAGAATAATGTGGGCGAAGCCAAGGTTGATCAACAAAGGGAGGCAGCGGTGAGGGTGGCCGCGCCTATCACCCCAGGACTCGGGAGGCTGAGGCAGGAGGATCAGTTGGAGGCCTGTCTGGGCTTGATACTGCGTTCAAGGCCAGCCTGGACTACATACCAAGACCCTGTCTCAAAACAAAAAGACGAAACAGAAAGGGAAGGAGGCAGAGGGAGGGTGCTGCGCACAGGTTGGAACTGTGCCTCGCATTTACATGGCCGGGTCCCCGAGGAGCTCAGAGCCGCTGGTTCCTGGCAGGCTGACTGCAGATACCCAAGGGAACAGAAAGTTCCCTGGCTCTCACACTGCTGGGGCTGCCTTCGAGCCGGGTCTCAACCTCTGTCCTCCCCGGGGTTTTGGGCGGTTTTGTAAAGCTGTCGGTGCTGCCCTCGGGCAGGCACTTCCATGCAGTGGTGTAGGGACAAAGGAGACCTAGCCTGACACAGCTGCCAGTGACGGGTTCATAGTGAAGCAAAGCCCTCGGTGTGGGCTGTGTGGACGTTCCTTTCCAGCTCGCAGACGCCAAGACCCAGGGCCTCTCTTGCTCGAACGAGGCACGCAGCATCGCGGCTGCCCTCGCCCACAGCCCGACCGAAGCAGGAGAGTGCCCGGGTCTCCGCCAGAACCGACAGCACCCAGAGTAACAGGCCAAAGAGCGGTGTATTGCCGGCGTCCCTTGGGGAACAGAGCAAAGCCCTGTTTCCACTTTTATATCGTTTCTACCCTACGGGGCAATTTTCCACTGGAAATCACAAAGCAAAGCTACACAAGCAAAGGCAGTGGATAAAAGGAAATGAACGGTGGTCCAGGAGGCAGGGACTTCAGAGGAGCCTGTCCAAGACTGCTGTGCTCCACTGATGCTGACGTCACAGCGAGCCCGTGGGAGACCCGGGTCAAAACCTTCCCTCTCCTCAGGGAGCCCAGCCACGTCATCTTCCCAAAGCAGCTCAGCTGCTTGTTAACCCGTAGTCATCCAGGGTCACCTCAAGAGGTGGTTTCCTCTCTCAGACGATTTCGAGGAAAGGTCTCGCCTTGGGCAGGTCCCTTATTTATTTATGTCTTTTTTTGCTTTTTGGTTTTTTTTTGAGGCAGGGTTTCGCTATGCAGTCCAGGCTGGCCTTGAGCTCACTGCGCAGCCCAGGCTGGTCTTGAACTCACAGCAGATCCACCTGCCTCAGCCTCCTGAGTGCTGGGATTACAGGCGTGAGCCACCATGTCCGGTTTGGGCCCTCATTTAGATTAGAATTTCTCTTCAGTAAATTTCCATCCTAAATTCCTTCCAGGATTAAGCCCCTGAGGGAACCCACTGACCGTCAGCAAAGACCAAGGAAGACATCTGGCAATCCCAAAGCAAGCGCTCAGAAAACTGTGACAAGCACCTGAGTCCCAGCTCTGGAGCTCCGGGGGAAGCCCTGTGTGTACAAAACGGTCAGACGCCAAGGCCAGGCCCTCTCTACACCACTTTCCAGCAGACTCACCCAGGCCATGTGTGTCCTGACGGAGAGGGCTGGTTCAGCACCTGGCTGCCCCGGGGACGTCATCTGCTGACTGATTATTAAAGGCAATTTGGCTCATCTATTGCCATGGAATTTTTGGCTTCTATCTCAGAAGGAGTTTAAAAGTTTGAGTGATCATGCTATCTCCAAATCTGCATTTCTACTTATTTATTTAGGTTTTGTTGTTGTTTTTTGTCTTTTTGAGACAAGGTCTTCCTATGCAGTTCAGGCTGCCCATGGACTCATTTGTAGCCCAGGCTGGTCTTGAAATCACAATGATCCTCCTGCCTCATCCTCCCAGGTGCTGGGATTACAAGGGTGCGCTACCATGCCTGGCTATTTAGGGTTTTTTTTGAGACAGGGTCTCTGTATGTAGCTCAGGCTGGCCTTAAACTCACTATGTAGTCCAAGCAGGCCTTGAACGCATGGCCATCCTCCTGCCTCAGCTTCCAGTGCTGGGATCACAGGGTTGCGCTACCGTGCCTGTCAAGCACTTACTAATTTATGTAAATAAGTTGTCTCAGCGTTTGCATGCTTTAAAAACGAGAAAAGGGCCCCCCAGCAGAGCAGTTGAGGTGGACAAATAATGTAAGTGGGTAGTTAGTGTACCATTAATACAAGTATGGACGCATGTTTTTGTAGAGGCCTGTTCAGATCACCAGGATCCATTTTCAATGTTCTTGTACATTTAAAAATGTATTTAAAACAAGGTGATGGTGCACGCCGGTAATCCCAGCTCTGGAGAGGCTGAGGCAGGAGGATCGCCACGAGTTGGAGGCAGCCTGGGCTACATAGTGAGTCCGAGGCCACCTATACCTATCTTTGAGCAGTAGTCAGCAACCCACACCTGCGCAGTCCTCACCGTCTGACCGGCCGCAGTCTCTTACTTCACGTGCGGCCGCTGCGCGGGGTGATCTGTGACCAGGGTGTTGGTTTAAGACAAGCAGACTGAATGCCCAGTGCTCAGGAAGATCAGAAAAAAATGTCTGTGCTAAAGGGACCCTGTTAGCCGGGCGTGGTGGCGCACTCCTGTAATCCCAGGAATCGGGAGGCTGAGGCAGGAGGATCGCTGCGAGTTCGAGACCAGCCTGGGCTACAAGGTCAGCTCAAGGCCAGTTTGAACTGCACGGCGAGTCCCTCTCTCAAAATAAAAAAAAAAAAAAAAAAAGAAAGGGACCCTGGACGGGGATAGGACGGTGTCCACTCGGGGAGCGGCCAGGTCCTGCGCTGACGGCGGGCAGCTCACGCGGTTACAGTCAGCGTGGCGAAGTGACCAGGACCCCGCAGCGCGAACCCTGACACCAGTGCAGTTTGCCCGCTATGCCGGAGGTCACCCGTGCAGCGCACGCTGGGACGTGTAGTTCCGGCAGTCACGTGCCGGCCCGGCCCGGCGACTTCCTTCCGCTCCGGAAGCCGAGGAGGGTTAAAATGTCCACGCTTCCTTTCCCCGCCTCTTACTCCCGCAGATTGATAGTGTGAGAAGCCAATGAATGCTCACCATCGTGCTTCCCGCCACCTGATTGGCTCCGAGGTTTGCAACCGCCCACACAATCTTGCAGAGAATTGGCTGAGCCCTCAGTTTTGAAAATCGTAGATTTCGCCCGCGCTGCACCGCCCCGCTGTTACTCGAGGCGCTGACTCTGAGCGAGCTGATCTGGCGGGCGGGGGCCGGGCGGACACGGCGGACTCGACCGAGGAGCCTGCGGCGGTGGCGGACGGCCGGTGAGTGCTGGCCCGCGCGTCCCGTCCCCGGGATGCCCGGAGGCGTTTCCGTGCCCCGCCGCCCGAGCCGCGTGTTAACCGCCCGTCCCGGAGGCCGAGGCGGCGCCTGTGTCCCCCCGTGTCTGCGCGCGGTGTCACCCAGCTCCCGCCGGGCTGCTGGAGGAGTTCCGGGGACCCTCGGCCCTGGCTGGGGGCGGGGCGGGGGCGAGAGCTCGGTTAAAACCCAGGCCCCGCCCCTGATGTCCGGGATGAATTTTACTTCTTGCCTCAGTTTCCCTGTCTGCACACGAAGTCTTAGGGGTTGTGATGACGATCGAATGAGGCGGCGCCTGCCCCCGCCTTGGGTAGGACTGACAACGGGAAGCGGCTGTAACAACAGACAGCGGAGAGGTGCACGGCTTCCTGCAGCCTCAGAGCTGCGGGAGGCGCGAGGGAGGAGACGGGGACCGAGCGATGAGGGGCGTGGAGGAAGCCTTTGTGCAGGGACCGAAGACCGCGTTTCTACTGCTCTTCGCTGGAGCCTGATGATTTTCTTTTGAGACAGGGTCTCGCTATGTAGGGTCCAGGCTGGCCTTGAACTCACTGTAGCCCAGGCTGGCCTGAAACACGCAACAGTCCTCCTGCGTCAGCCTCCCTAGAGCGGGGATTGCAGGCGTGTGTGCCACCACACTTGGCATCCTCGAGCTTGATTTTGGACTCACACCCTCCTCCTTGCTGTTCTAACGTAATGGCGACTTTTTCCAGGGGCTGTACTAAGGTCTCTTAAGCACTTCCTTATGGAAGAAGTCCAAATGCTTCTTTGAAATTTGTCAGCAAAGTGCTCGTGCACTCCGCTGGTTGAACAAAGACGTTAAAAAGTTACCCAGGCGTTGCTGCTCTCTATTTCCTCGGCAATCCTGTGGCTTCCCTGAACAGTTTTCTCCTTTTCGGCCTTGAACTAGGGTCTAGCGCTGGGCCAGGGCTGAGGTCTAGGTGCAGAGGGCTTGGGCAAGTGATTGGGTGGCAGCGAGCCGAGGTTGCAGAGCTGGGGCCTTTGCCTAGAACCTGGTGTCTGCCGGGTTGGCCCTGCCCTGGTTAGTGCAGTCCTTGGCATCCAGGGGTGGTGGGTGTGTGTGGCCCTGTCCTAACCTGTCCTAAGCTGTGCCCAGCAGGTTGTTTTGCTGTCTCTGGGTGTGGTGGTGGGGATGCTGCCTGGGTCCCTGGTGGGGCCAGGCCTTCGGGCTGCAGGCTCTCAGTGAGGAGCAAAGCAGACAGGACTTGCCCTTGGGGTGCAGTGTTTGGTGGGCAGAGACCGGCAGTACGCAGACAGCCCGTCACTCAGTGCTCTGCAGAGAGTTGAGCTTGGTGGGTGAGATTATGGCTGGGGGTGTAAGAAATGATCTCATTTGTCCCGACACCCCCCACAGGGAACTGGACTGCAGAGGCAGCAGAAGTGTTGGTTTTAACCCAAGACTCTTGGAAGAGTGGTGTCTACACAGGGACAGGCACCCTCCAGTTGAGAAGCTGTGTGTGGCTTTATTGCTAGCTCGCAGGAGTCCCTCCCCCCGTCTCCCACAGCCTGGGATCCAGGGTTCATTTGTTCTGTTCCAAGCAGTGTTTCACCCCACACCTGCCCCGCTTCTGATCCCCTGCTCCTTCTGTATTTTCACTTCATTTTGTTTTTTTGAGACAAGGTCTCTCTGTGTAGTTCAGATTGGCCTCGAGTCCATTAGGTAGCCCTGGCTGGCCGTGAACTCGCAGTGATTCTCTGGCCTCAGTGGCCCAAGCGCTGGGATTACAAGTGTGCACCCTCACACCAGGGTGTATTTTTCTCTGGAGTTATTTTTAGCCTTTTGGCTTTCCAGGATTGGGGAAGACTTGTTTGGAAGTTACATTTTTACCCCTGAGTTCTATCTGTGGAGTGAGTTTTTGTATAGCCTGGGTGTCTTTTTCTGCTAATTGAAGGAACTCTCTAAGAGTGAGGGCTTATTAGAGCAGTTAATGAAATAGGGACCAATTAAAAATATTTTTTACTTCTTACGGGGCTACTTTAGATGGGTGGGCAGGCCTCCCTGAGGAGGGAAGCCACACAAAGTAGGAGACAGTGTTGCAGATGGAGGGCAGAGCTTGTCTGAAGAAGGAGGCCACTGTGCCTGGAAGTCAGGCCCAAGGCGTCCCCCAGGCCGCAGCCTGACTTGTGTCAAGCTGCAGGAGGATCAGGGGGTCCGCAGTCAGCCTCTCCGTCCAGAGCTGCCGTCAGGGGGCAGGCTGAGCTGTGCGTGTGCTTGGCTTTGGAAGCGTAGGTCACCGTGGTGGGTCCTATCCTCCAGGCTCGCGGTCTGCTCCAGGTGACAGCCGCCAGCTGCTCACGTTTGGCATTCATTCACTTGGTAGGACGCTTGCTGAACCCTTGCCCTGACTAATAGAACACGTCCCACCTGGGGCTGGTTTACCACCAGGTCTTGAGGCTCTCCAAGCTCCCAGGGTCTGAGAAAGTCTAGCTTGTTCTGTGTTTCTCCTTACCCAGTACTTGCAGACAGATTTTCCTAAAAGCGAAACATTGCTCATGTGCTCCCCCACACATGCGCTGTGAGGGTGGTGGGGTACCTGGCGAGCTCGTCTCTAACGAGCGCCTGTGATACCCAGATGCCCCGTGCTCTGATTCTTTTTTGTTGTTGTTGTTTTTCCAGTACTGGGAATCAAACTCACAACCTTGCGCTCGCCAGGCAGGCGCTGTGCCTCTGAGCTAAACCCCCAGCCCCTCCGTTCTCTGATTCTTAAGAGATGTTTGGACCCAGAGCGTGCACCTGTGTCTGGGCTCCCTGGCGTGTAGCACAGGGTGGCTGCGTCCTCTCTTACTGCTCACAGGCGTGAGCGGCCCCTGCAGGAGAGCAGGCTGTGGGGGTGGCTGGGCGGCTGCCGTTCTCCCTAGCCCAGGAAAGCGGTGGCTACGCCTGGCATCAAGAGCCCAAAAAGCCCACGTGTAAGGCTCTTGTCAGTGTGGACTCCAGGGACAGCCACGCCACGTGTGGGGCTTTGATGGTGTGTCTCCCTCCTGGAGACACGAGGCTGCCGGTCAGGTCTCGGGCGCCGCGTGCGGCGAGGGCCCTGGCTCAGGTCCTGGGTGCTCGTTTGGCCGTGATGGGTGGGCACTGTGGGCAGCAGCTCTTCCTCTGGGGACACCCTGCTACCCACCCCTGAGCCCTGTGCCTCTTGTCCCGGCCGCCACTAGACAGCGCCACCATGGGGACAGCCGCCCCAGGGCCCCTTCACCTGCTGGACCTTTGCGACCAGAAGCTCATGGACTTTGTGTGCAACATGGACAATAAGGACCTGGTGTGGCTCAGGGAGATCCAGGAGGAGGCCGAGCGCATGTTCACCAGGTGAGGCCAGTGCCACGGCCCTTCGTCCTGACAGCAGCGGGGCTCCCTCCCCCCTCCTGAGGGCGGGGAGGTCCGGTCCCTGCCTGGCTCTTCGTGGCTGAGGGGGCGTCAGAGGCTGTGCGTCCTCACTGCCTGGCCGAGTCCCCAGGAGGAAGCCTGTGACCGGGCCGTGACTTGCCCCTGCTCACCCGCACAAGCTGGGAGGAGCGCAGGCTGTGGGAGCGGGGCTGGCTGTCCCGGGGAGCCTCACGGGTTGCCCTTCCCGTACCAAACAGAGAATTCAGCAAAGAGCCCGAGCTGATGCCCAAAACTCCTTCTCAAAAGAATCGGCGGAGGAAGAGACGGGTTTCCTATGTTCAGGATGAAAACAGAAACCCCATCCGGAAGAGGTAGGGCGGGGCCAGGGCTGGGCAGTTGGTCTCTGGGAGTTGGGACAGTGAAGCGTACAGTGGCGGAGTCCCGTGTGCGCGTGTGTGCGCATGGGAGTGTGGACTGTCTGCTCTGGGCCTGGAGGAAGGGAAGGACTTCAAGACCGTCTGGTGGGCGTGACTGGAGGGGTGGGGTGGGGTGTCCCACCCTGCTCCTGGGCTCCTTAGAAGGCCCCCCGAAATGGTGGCCACTCTGGGACCCAGGGGCACAGATGCTGGGTCTAGGAGCCATGGTGTCTTGGGTGCATCCCCCAGCCCTGCCCCTCGCAGCCGTGTGTCCCTGGGTTAAACTCCCCCCCCACCCCCCAAAGTGAGGACGATGCTGCTGACACTTGGTGCGCTTTGCCGGGGACGTGAGAACGGCGTGAGGTGTGCGCAGGTGCCGGGCACCCTGACCTCAGGCAGCGGGGGTCCGCCTGGCCCTCATCTTCCCGGCGGCTGGCCCCGAGAGCGAGGCTCTGGGGTCTCGTGGCAGGAGGTGGCGAAGCTCGCACCAGAACCCGGATCCTCTGCCTCCAGGGCCTCAGATCCACACTCTGCGGGCTGGCAGCTCCTGGGAGATGCTGTACCTCAGCAAGATGTTGGGGTGCGCCCTCCCCTGCCGCTTCCTCAGCCCCTGCTCTTCTGCCATACAGGTCATCCCGCAGAAAGATCCGGAGCGGCCGGCGGAGCTCCCAGCCCCTGCGCGGCAAGGACAGGGTGGAGAAGCCGGCCATGGCGTTCGGGGAGCAGGGCTCCCCTGTGCTGCGCAGGGTGACCCGCGCCGCCGCTGCCGCCGCCTCCAAGGTGTCCGCCGCCCCCGTGTGCTCCCCGAGGTCCCCCACGGAGCAGAGCAGGAAGCTGGTGGTGGAGATTGGCGCTGTGGAGCGCCGCAGTGCCGAGCAGCAGCTCACCCAGCTCGTAGCCACCTCGGCTCCGACCCCGACCCCGGCCCCGGCCGCAGCTGCGCAGGACGACCTGACTTTGGTTGAGGAATCAACACCCAAGAAGCCAGAGGCTGGGCGGCCAGAGTCTGTCACAGCGAGCGCCCTGGTGACCACCCCGCAGGGGCCCAGGAGCCACGGCGCTGGCCCGGCGCGGTCTGCCTGCAAGCTCAAGATCGCGCAGGCCTCCCCGGGGCCCCAGGACGCGCCTGGCTCTCGGGACTCTCCGTGGCGGGAGCGGGTGCTGACCTCCATCCAGCCGGACAACTTCTCCAGGCCTGTGCGGCGCAGCCTGATCGCCCCGGCTCCCCAGGACACTGTGGCCCAGAAGTACCCCCTGGTGGCCAAACAGGAAGGCGCCAGCCGCAGGTCGAGCAGGAGGGTCGCTAAGAACGCGGCCACAGAGCCCGCCGCCTCTGGCCGCATCATCTGTGAGTGGGGCCGGGTGCTGCCCAGGGCGCCCTGGAGGCTTGGGAGGGCCTTGGGGCAGGGGGCTGTCCCTCGAGCTCTCCACGAGCGAGCGAACCTTCCCAGCTGTGCTGTCCTGCACGGTACCTGCTGGTGCACTCTGTCTGACTGTGTTGTCCCCAAGACGTGACAGTCTGACAGGAGCCACTGGCCACCAAACGGGGTGAGAAAGAGGAGCCTATGGGAGACTGAGGCCCGGAGAGCTCGGCCCGCGTTCCCTGGTCCTGCCGCTTGCAGCTGGGGAAGCCGGGCTCTCCTCCCCTTCCCTGTGCCAGGGATGCTGACTTTGCCTGGCAGTTTTCGTGCACTGTCTGGCTGGGGAGGCCAGGCCTGGTCTGGAGGTGTGGCGGGCTCATCGTGGGGCAGACAGCCTCGTGCACGGAGGAGCAGGGTGGCCCTGAGCCGTGGGCCTGGGTGTGAGGTGCTGTCTGCTCCAGACCTCCGTCCTGCCTCCCTCCTCGTCTCTGGCCTCACCCTTGGTGTCTGGGTGGCACACCTGACTGCTCTGTCATCAGCGGAGCTCAGCCTGGGCCGGGGAGCAGTGTCAGGTGCAGAGACCTGGCAGGACGAGCGTAGCCGGTGCCCCGCGGTTCGGCACCTGCAGGAGGCGCAAGCACAGGGCAGCGGGTGGCAGGGGTCAGCCCCCGTGCCACTTGGCACTGTGGAGGCCATGGCCCTGCGCTGTGGGGCAGTGGGATGGCAGGTGGGGGCCGAGGGAGAAGATGGCCAGGGTGGTGCACACAGGGTGAGGAGTGGCTGGCGTTGGCCTGGCTCTGAGATTTCTTGAAACAAAGGCAAGGGCCGTCCTGCAGACATTCTGACAGTTGTTGGGACTCTGTCTTTACAGAGCAGGCGCTGCGGCCATGGCTCTGCCTGCGGGGTCCAGGGCCGGACTCCGCCTGGCATTGTCCAGGAAGGCAGGTGCTTGGGAGGCCCCTGCTGGGCTCGAGACTCTCGCTGTGCCGCTTCCTCCCAGCCTGCTGGGTCATACAGCCTGGCACAGTCTGCTTTGGGCTTTCAGAAGGCTGAGGTGCAGGCTGTTCCCATCTGCTGTGACTTTCCTCGGGCCAGCCTGATCCTGGGACGTGAGGGTCTCCAGGCTACAGCCCCAGGCGTGTCGTTCTCGTGTGCTGGGCCAAGAACTGGGATTGAGCCCAGGGCCGTCACAACCAGGCTGTACCCCGCACGCCTCCTGCTGGAGATCCGAGGTGTAGCAAGTTGCTAACTTGCCCAGGCTGGGCTCGAACTTGCAGCCCTCTTGCCTAAGCCTCCCAGTGCTGGGGTGACAGGCATGGGCCGCCGTGCCTGTCAGGTCTGCAGTTGTGAAGCTCCTCAGGCTGCTCTTCCTCTTGCCCTTTCCTCACTCAGGAGAGGGCCTCTGAGTTGGCGGGCAGGTGCCCGTATCTGTGTGACTTGGGCTCAGCCCGCTGCTCAAGAAGGAAGGAGGCAGGGTCTAGGATCTGGAGGAGCAGCGACCCGGCTGCCCTTGGTGACCTGTGCGTCCTGCACTGGGGGGCAGACCTCCCTGCCCCACCTACTCGGGCTGGCATGCTTGCCAGGGGCGCTAAGTGTTTACAAGTCGGTGCTGGTGGGGCTCACACGGCCTCCCCTGTCCCCTCACCCCCGCCAGGGCTCTGGAGCTGGCTGGGAAAGTGGGTGGAGCCAGGCCCCGGGTGGAAGAGCACTTCCTGCCTCATTCTCTTTGTGCCTTGGTGCTTTGCTGTCATAGCTTCTTGCCTGTCCCGCTTCTGCCTGCAGCCCTGGGTCCTCTTGGCGCCCCCAGCCTTGGCTCTGTCCCTGCCTGTGGCTGAGATGTTTATAGTGGAGAAATCATGTCCGAAGCAAAAGCGTAATGAAGAGACTGCAGACTCAGTGTCTGCTCTGCGGCTTCACTGCTGGGCTGCAGGGGCAGGGCCTGGCTTCACAGAGCTGGACGGGGGTTTCTCACGGCCTTTCCCAGAGCTGTGTGTGCCGGGGTCAGAGGCGGCAAGGGTGCAGTTGATTCCTGCCTGGCGCTCGTGCTCCGAGGGTGCTAGCCCTGTGTGTGGCCGCTGTGTCCACCTCCCCAGCGTGCCCGTGCCTCGCTGTGGGTGAGCGCAGTTGTTTTCTGACACTGTTAGGTATCAGGAAACTGATGATGGATACACGGTCTTCAAAATGCTGCTTTTGTCCCTTTTGGCTCAAGTTTTTATTCTCAGCAGATGTGTAGTTTTAAGTGACAGGCTTCACTCATTCTTTTTTTTTTTTTTTTTGGTACCAGGAATCAAACTCAGGACCTTGTGCTTGTCAGGCAGGTGCTTGTGCCGCTGAGCTACATCCCTGGCCCCTCCACTCATTCTTAAGGATGCCTTCCT